CGCATCATTCATATATTTAGATATATATTGTCGCAGTGGAGAGTAGGCATTCGGGTTGGAGAGTTGGGAAGTGTCGGAAGAACGAACTTAATATAAGTGATTGAGAAAAGTGTACATTTGTTAAATTATCTGTCTTTTGTGCCGTAGAAGAAATTTTATGATATTGGCTTAAAATTACTAGTATCAGGTCCAGGTAAAGGAAGTCAGATTTGGCGTGGCATTTAACGATCTAGTTTCGCGGTAAAATCACTAAATCTTAGCTCGACAATCAAACTTTCTTATTGTTTAATCGTAGTAATTAAATTAATTACTTTTTCCAGCTTTATACATAAATATTTGGCTCTAAAATTGTAATTTGTCCTATTTCTTTGTTTAATAATATTGAATTAGTTTTAATTACCCAAAGTAGAGGTTTTTCATTAGGCGGATCGGTTTTCCTCTAGATTTTTATAATTAATTTTGGGTTTGATACAAATCTGCCCCGGACTAAACCAAATTCGTCCTCACCGACGGGTTTAGTCAAACGACGATCACGATTTTTATTAAATTGAAAGATTCACTGACGCGATTGAATCACTTCATTTGTTTCGGAAAGACACATAAACCAGGACATCTATTTGTATGGGCGCATAAAGGGCACTATTCCCCTATTCTTATAAGATAGTACCACATTCCTTGCTTATTCATTTTAGATAATCCTATAAGACACCAAACATCTAAGAGAAGCTCGATGGCGCAGGTGGTTAGCGCGTTCGGCTGCGATAGTTGAAGTTAAGCAACTTTCGTAGTGGTCGGTCATTGGATGGGTGACCAAAAATCTTCTATCTCGAGTTTCTCCGTGCTTCGAAAGGCACTTTAAGCCGTTGGTCCCGGCTGCATCTGCAGTCGTTAGCACCCGCCAATCCGCACTGGGCCCGCGTGGTGGGTCATGGCCCAATCTCCCTATTCCATCCATAGGGAAGGCCTGTGCCCCAGCAGTGGGGACATTAATAGGCTGATGATGATGATGATGATGACTATAAGACACTTAATATCCTTATCAGTTGGTGTCGTGACAGGGAAATCACTGAGCACCAGGATACACTCATTATGAATTAGGCTTAGGTTTAAATTATCCATCTTAGAGATAGGACCATGACCAGGATACTGACAGCATAACCATTTTAGACTTGAGCAAGACGCTATTTTATCCTTCTCAGATCCTTGACGTTGAAAAGTACAAAGGTAATGTCTGTACAGAGTAGACGCTAGCAAAAGGTTTATAGGAGCGATTGTCTCGAAAATTGCTCGTGTCTCGTCAGCTGTCTGACGCTAACACCTCGACTTCTATATAGAGATGTTTCGGAGAGAATCATTTGCATATTCTCTGCTGCATTGTGCGAGTAGTGCCGTGCCGAAATTGAAATGCGAAATGAGACATATTTCAATTTAAGACGTAAAAGAATACTGTTTCTATACTGTTTTGTTATAAATTTTGTGTTTTTAATGACTTAAAGAGGGCTAAGAGAGGTACGGTATAGCGAATTTACCGATCGAATTGGAGCGCCAATACTAGAGAAAATTCGATTTAGATTACCTACCTATATACTAATGTATTCTGTGATGCGTCCGCCCGGATAGCAGAAGATTCGGGTTGTTATGCCATCTGTAACATGGATCGACTGGAATTTATTAAATAAACAAATACTTCGAACAATCACACCAATTAGAAGTATTAAAAAAATACATATTAAATTAATATTATATTATGGCTCCGCCAAGTACTTCCTCGATGCTTTGGATAGGTTACAGCGACGCGCGATCCGCATCATAGGCGATGAGGAGGTGACTAAACACCTTGAGCCTCTTCAATTACGCCGTGACGTGACGTCACTAAGCGCGATCTATTGTTTGTACCACGGCGAGTGTTCTGAGGAGATATTCTCTCTTATTCCACCTTCTCCTTTCCTTCAGAGGACCACGCTCACTGGCCTACGTTGTCACCGTCTAACTGTGGCCACAATTCCAACGCGTACAAAGAAATTTGGTGACTCATTTCTTTGTCGCACTATCCGTAAATGGAATGCTCTGCCCGCTCACGTGTTCCCTCCCTCTTAATACCTGGGATCCTTCAAAAGAGGTGTGAAGAAGCAATATGCAGGCAGGCAGGGTGAGGATGGCTGGTGTGGCAGGTAGGACTGCTGTATCAGCTATCTTCGCGTCTGGACTTCACCTTCACTTAACATCAGGTGGGGTGAAGTTATTTGTCGGACCTATCTATAAAAAAAAATATCCCTGACTGGAGTACAAAAACTCGTATTCATTACAAAAACATCTACCCCCACCGGGATTCGAACCCGGAACCTCGCTAGTAGGTGACACGACACCTTGAAACCCGGCGTAGATACCACTAGATAGACGGACGGACTAGACGGCGTAGATCGTCAATTCTAGTAAAACTTTCTTAAGATTCACGTAACTTCCTTTACGAGGTTGGCAAACCATCAAAGATTGCTCACCATATTATTTTTATACTATATCTAATTCATGTATATGTCTATGCTTTAGTATTTACGTTGAAACAGCACTCCAGCTCAACGGCAGATTCCATAATGACGGCATGTTTTAGCTGCTAGTAACTCGTACGGTAGTACCAAAATGTTATTTAAAAAGGGATATCTTAAAAAAAGCCGTCTTTAATGGAGAAGCGACTTGATATGGGAAAAGGGGTATCCTTATCAGTTTTGTTTTTAATATTCTGCAGTTAGGTTTACATTTTTTTATGAAAGCACTAAATAACTGCTGCCAACCAAACAAAGCTGAATCCTTCTTAAATTCGCTGTAAAAAAAGATATCAGTGACTCAGCTTTTCACCCTATTTAAGTCTGTTATTAGAGGGTGAACGCTGAAAAATATTAAAAGAACGGCTTTCAGGGAAAACATGTTATTCAACAAGGGTAGTATTTATAGTATATACGAGTATTTTTGCCAAGTTAACGATGAGTTTGAAACTCATTCACTCGAAAGAAGATAAATATAAAAAAACGACGGGTTGCACTCCGGGAGTGCCGGCAGTAGTGAAAACTTGAATATTAACGTTGTGCATTTTTGATTTTGATTGATTTTGGAATGATTAGGGAATAATTTGGCACGAATTGCTTTAATTATCAGTATGAAAGTACTATCATATATGTGGTAGAATACAATATTTATGTATTATGCTATCGTACACAAACATGACAATTTATATTACATTAAAAAAGTTTATCTCTCAAAAAAATCAACTTACATGAATAACGTTTAAGCGCACTTAGCGACATCTATTGTAAAGAAATCAACTTACATGAATCACATTTAAGCGCACCTAGCGACATCTATTGTAAAAAATTGCATTTTCTTCGCAATAAAGCTGCCACGTGGACGCCTAGATAGAGACTTAATATTATAATACGGTAAAATAAAATATTACTATGTTTCGTCCAATATATTGATAGTCAACAACCTTTCCAATTTTATGTTTTATTTTTAATTATGTGTGTCATGATGTGATCAGCTCACGGGTTTAACCTGACGCGAGTTTAAAATTTTTTACCCATACAAAAAAGTGTACAAAGCCGCTAAAGAAGTTTTCAGTTCAAAAATATTTTTTTTTATTAATACAAATTTAGATTATGCTGGATGTAAGTGGTCGCTAAACTAGTATTAAAGTAACATTAGTTTTTCTACTAAATCTTCATTACGTTTGCACTAGTTGCATAAAATGAAATGTGATTATGCGATTGGTTCATAAACTGCACGTTTATAATTTACAACAGGTATTGGTATCTACTATTAAATTAATTATATTAATAGTCGATGTCAAGTTGATAGACACAATGTAACTACAACTACAATAAAACAAAAATAAAGAAAATAGGTATTTCACTACCTACGTTAATAGCTTTTACACATTTCAGTGAGCTTCTTAAAAAAACTGATTTATTTTTACGACCTCTTAAGCCTCGTTTTTTATACTCGAATTACCCAAAGCAAGACAAATGAGACAGAAGAAATCATTATTTCCCATCTTCGCAACCTGTTCATTATCACCCATCAGTTTAGATCGGAAAAAGATTCAAATGGACAAAACTTTAATGACAGACTGATAAAAATGACAACTAGCCGGATACTTAAGGGCTCCCCTGTGAAGACTGAAAGAACAAGGTAACAACATGACCGTCCTCCGCTACAGAGTGGGGAGAGGTGTACACCGTTCTACTCATCATCATCATCAGCCTATTAATGTCCCCACTGCTGGGGCACAGGCCTCCCGAATGAATGGAACAGGGAGATTGGGCCATGACCCACCACGCGGGCCCGGTTCGCATTGGTAGGTGCTAACGACTGCAGATGCAGCCGGGACCAACGGCTTAACGTGCCTTCCGAAGCACGGAGGAGCTCGAGATAGTAAATTTTTGGTCACCCATCAAATACTAGTTTTCGACTCGTTGTCCGTGAATATGACGTGCGAGCACATAGGACATGCAAATCCACCCTGGACAGCCAATGAAAGCAAACCAGAGTTTACAATTCACGATAATATTACTGAACTTACAGAAAAAGTGTGTGTGTCTCGGGACAGAAGTGATAACTTAAACTAATCTAAGCGGTGCTGCGGGTTAGAGTGAGAGAGGAGCCTGCCTGCCACTGCCGTATGCGTGAGAGAAAGGGGAGCCAGACAGACTGGCGCCATAACACGTTACGTAACGAAGCGGTTATCCCCTTTCATAAGAGTTTATCACCTCAAAAACATATACATACAAGACGCATATAGAGCCTCCTCCTATTTGTTGGAAGATGGATAAAAATTCAATTCGATAATATCCTACAAATTCTTTCGGATTCCACTCCTGTAAGCCGGAGATGAAGATCTCGTTCGGTTCTCGGGAGCGCTCGGATTACTCGAGGTTTCGCCACTCACTAATTGCTTCACAATTCAGCCTTTATTATTATTTATTAATTACCTTAATTTCTAAACTTACTTGGTAAAGCAGCTGGTTTGAAGCGGGCCCGACCCGGCGGCGGGCCCGCACTGGCTTTCTTTGGAGTTTCCCTAATTCAGTGCGGTGTTGATTCCTGAAAAGAGAAAAAAAATGTTGAGTCACTGTCCATCCTGCTCAAGAAGTAAAAGATAAGTGTCATCTCTATAGTCATCATCATCATCATCATCATCATCATCATCATCAGCCTATTAAAGTACCCACTGCTGAGGCACAGGCTTTCCCTATGGGAGGAATAGGGAGATTGGGCTATGACCCACCACGTGAGCCTAGTACGGATTGGCGGGTGCTAACGACTGCAGATTCAGTCGGGACCAACGGCTTAACGTGCCTTCCGAAGCACGGAGGAACTCGAGATAGAAGATTTTTAGAAGATCTCTATAGAACAAATTGTGAAAAGAATGGACTAGTTTTAAAGTGAATGAGGTGATTAACAAGCGGTCACCATAGCCTAAATACGCTTGCGATAACAGATAGTCAATTGAGTAGCGCGAAGAGTTATGCGAAGACTCCTCTCCGCTCATACCATCTAGCTCAAGGCCTCAACGAAACGAGCAGGGCCCCAGGAAAAAAACAGAAAATATTCCTGCTTCTACCCTCAGCACACATAATGCGGACCGCAGTCCACGAAATGTGTACTTTTTTTTAAAGCCAGATAGGCGAATGACTCTACCCCACCTGATTTTAAGTGGTGATAGAGTCCAAACGCGAAGGTAGCTGGTACAGCAGTAATAAACTGCCCAACCAACCATCCTCACCTTGCCGGCCTGCAAAAATGCTTCTTCACACCTCTCTCTAAGAACCCCAGATTGCAGGAAGGAGGGAACACGTGCGCGGGCAAAGAATTCCACTTGCGAATAGTACGGCAAAGAAAAGAGTCACCAATTTACTTTGTTCGTGTAGGAATAGTGGTCACAGTAAGTCGATACTGGAGGGGGGGGGGGGGGGGGGGGGAACACCGTAAAACACTTTTCACCGATAATATTACTATGTTAGTTTTATATGAAGTGGAGGTTGGATTCTTTTAACAATCGCTCGGATTCACGCGTTCGGGCATGAAGTCCGATGTGCCCCACGTCTCTTATTTTGTGGATTCCGAAACTTCTGAACTTTTATATTTGTAATTTTTTTAAGCATGTGACTGCAGGATATTAAGTTCTAGTTGTCCCCTCTGGTTCGAGTGGTCTAGAGGCTCCAGACGGAGAGGAGACCACCCCGTGGGGAGATGCCATCCGCCTGGAATACCACTAGAGGCACTCGCCAATTCTCGGCTTGAAGTCCCCTTAGGATCTCGCCGTCCTCAAACCCGTTAACTCTGTAAATGTCATCTGCGACAAACAGCATACACACTCCAAAAATAATTAAAATCTAAAGACAGTTTTACTAGAAAAAAAAATCTATTGAACTTTTATTAATGTTTTCGGGCTAATGTTAACTTTGAACGCTTCGTCGAAAACCAGAGACGACTGGTTTCTTCAAAAGCTGAACCAATTAGTTGTCTGAAAAAAACAGGACTCGCATAAAGCCTACAATATTTCGTGATTTTTTGAAATTACCTGTTTATAATTGGAATAACTTGTTATGTTAGTTATTTAAACCTTTTCAACCAACTTCAAAAGTAGTAGGTTCTCAATTCGGTTGGTATTTTCTTACTTTACTTTATAAACCTTTATCCTGTTTATCATAGCAAACATCGACGAGCAGCACGCACTAAAAGAGTCCATTCCCGCATCAACGCTACAACAAAATACTGCGGCTGTCAAAAAATATAACGGAATAGTATAAACGACACGTGAAACGATCAAGTGGCGTTGAATATGAAACTGAATCTCTGAAACATATTCGTCGACTCATGGTGCGATGTCCATGCGGTAGAACTACATGAGTTAGGCGTTTCTGTACCGAATCTGTACTTATTCTTCACCGCGTACATGTATGACTATGGTCTCCTATTAAAATGTATACGCTGCGTCTGACTTCAGCGTAAAAGTTGAAGCAAGTACACGCATCTCAGAGAAAAAACTGAATTATAATTGACCTCATAATACCGGCACCTACAATTGCAGATAGCTATAAATTGTGTGTTGTGCTTTGTTTTGCTTATTCTACATCATCATCATCATCAGCCTATTAATGTCCCCACTGCTGGGGCACAGGCCTTCCCTATGGATGGAATAGGGAGTTTGGGCCATGACCCACCACGATTGGTAGGTACTAACGACTGCAGACGCAGCCGGAACCAACGGCTCAACGTGCCTTCCGAAGCACGGAGGAGTTCGAGATAGTAAATTTTTGGTCACCAATCCAATGACCGACCACTGCGAAAGTTGAAAGAAACCTACCAATATTAAACTCAAACTTAAATAATTTATTCAGTCTAGACTGTTATAAGCTCTTGTGGACGTCAACTCCATGCCAACATCTGTGCCATTAAAAACAGAGAATATTGTAATTGTGTTATATGTGCATGTTAATAATATCACTTTTATTAGTTAAATAGTATTGCTGAAGAGCATTAGGATAACATTAAATTCAGAAGACACACGGAAGTCAGTTTAAAAGGTGTGCTCGTTAAATATATTGAGTTCAGGCTGACCTTTTCGTAAGATGAAAGCGTGTTCGCGTGTTGAATTTTGACATTTCAAGCATTTATTTTCTACGTTAAAATAGGTCGTGCACATTCTAAAAGCCTTTCTGCGCTTTACTCTTAAGAAAATTACTTACACACGTTGGTCCAAACCATATTTTAAAAATTGGATTACAGTATAAAAAGCTCCGTTGTAAACACCGACCCGCGTAGTTCTGAACGAATGCTTAACTTTTATATTTTTTTGTAAACCAACCAATATTTATTAGACGTCATCAAGAATGACATTTTTAGTAAACGTCAATCTTGATGACGTCGACGATATTCAAAAACCAAAAAAAATGCAGATTTCAGTACCGAAATTTATGTGCGTGAACTTAGCACATTATTCAAGCCAGAACTATTTCTAAAAAGTATCAAGAACTATAGAACTTTGCTGCATGCGAGAAGAACTCACATTTAATTTTCATCTGCAAATGTGCTAAGTTCACTGACAACCGAAATTATGCCTTTTTATTCATCAATAAAATTATTGAAAGTATTAAAACAATTAAAAAATCATTATCGTCATTAGCCTTTCAATATTTATTTATTTTATTAATTAAACTTTATTGCCAAAGAAAAGCAAACGGCGGACTTAATGCCATGGGCATTCTCTACCAATTAACCGGTATGAATGAGTGTTGGAGACAAATGGTATGGTAATGGTATGGTTTACAAAAATTAAATAAAATGAAAACTAAAAGAAGATAATATCCTGAAAGCACAGGTTTTCTTGTATACGGAATAGAGAAAAAAGCCACGAGACTTGTACGGATTACAGAGTGGATATGACTGCAGATGTAGCCGGGACCACCAATGGTTTAAATAAATAATAATAATACCTTTTGAAGCATGGCACAGCTCGAGATATTTTTTTTAGGCTCTCTAAGTGACCCTTGTGAAAGTTGTAAACTTTATATACGAGCGGCTCGCAGTCGTCAACCTCTGCCGTCAACGCGGCGACGATCTTCGCCGCTAAGCCGTCAACCCGCCAAAGGCTGCCGTCGACGGATGACGGCTCATCGGCAGTGGCGGTGTAGCCACGTTGATGGTAGAAGTTGACGGCTGCAGTTGTGATGCCGTTGACTGCGAGTCGCTTGTATTATATGAAGCCTAAGTCGAGATTTTAAACTCGATGCTTATAGTGTTTTGTGTACATTTATCAAATAACATTTGAAAGGCTTTGAAAGGAGACCAAAAACCAAATTTATCGTACCAGCTTTTTTTTCATTCTGTGGCGTTCTCCGTTTTACACAGAAATTTCGCCAATGCCCAGTAGTGAGAGAGACACGAGAAAGACTGCTCCAAAGAGTAAAGTAAGTATACCAAAGGGACTGATCGGTAGAAACAGATTAAGGTGATATAAATTAAATAACCGATTATACGTTCTTCCTTGAGTATTTCACTTTTCTGAAAGCACAACACAGCAAACATACACAAAGACGTCACAGGTTAAACAATATTAATTTATATGACATGGGTAGAGCAGACAATTATTTCCAAATAAAAATAGAAAGGTAAATAAAAGTTAGAGTTTGATATTGTATTTTTTTATGAATTTACATAAACACAAAAGGCCAGGTTTGTCGGTCAATGTTGGAATTGTATGAATGTTAACGGGACGTACAGTTTTGGGTGGAAGTAGAGAATATAGAGATGGGTGTTTTAGACAGTTGAAAAAAATGTGGTCTACAGTGCCTTCCTATCGTACCAGCTTACACCCTGAAGTTTGGAGTGACGTTGTCAAATCGATTAAGGAAATATGACACAATTCGCGGGCAAAGTTAAGTACACATTATATTTTCACTATTTATTGCTGTTAACTTTTTGTGGAAAAGTTATGAAATATAGGGTGCGAAAGAAAAAGTTACGTTTGACACATGTCCCAGAGATTTATACCTCGATATATTGCGGAGTTATTGCATTGTTTGCTATTTATAATATAAGCACTTATGGCCAGATCCCTTGGAGTTAGCACAGTAAAAGATGTGATACAGAAACTATCAATCAAGATAGACAGTGCCATTATTTTTAGAAACTTTGTTTTCTATTAAGTTATGGCAACATTGGCTGTTTGCTGATGTCACATCTGTTAAGGTTCTATTTCGGATAGTGGGGCGGCATAAAACGGGCTAGACTGGTGAGACAGTTAGTTACTTGTGACCAGTCGGCCAATAAAAACCTGATAAATGTCAATAGAACTCAATAGAATAAGCTACGATTTGGTTTACTAGAAGTATGGTTTTATTTAAACAGCTATTATACATAATAATTATTACCATATTTCTTTATAAAATTACATAATATAAATTAGAAAAAAAGCTTCATCTCAGAAGAAACTCACACAAGTAAAGTCTGAAATTGGGTGTGGAAATAATGACAGGTCTTATTTATGTTCCCCGACCGCCAGGAGGAGGAGGAACCCCTGCCGGGGGTAACGTGGAGAG